TGATTTAGAAAAGGATCTCCTCAATCTTCAAAGAGGTGTTTGTACTGTTAATCACATTCAACACATTGATAATAGCTGGATAAAAAAGGCTGTAAAGCAGATTGGTGATTATTGGGATCTGTGTGGATATAGAGATGCTGCTGAAGCTTTTCTTAACATTCGAGATACTCTTGACTTGACTGGAGATTTTACTTTAGTTGAAAGAGTAGCACAAAAGGTAAATGGGCATTTGTTAATTAATGTATTGATGCTACTTAATTTATGTGAATGTGTTTTTGTAGGTTTCAGCTGGTAAGGAAAAATTAAATTCTATTGATCATAGTGTAGTTGCTGCTGGACAATTTCTTGCTGATTATGCAACTGATTCTAAGAAAAGGGAATGCCTACAAGCTTTTGTTGATTGTCAAAAAATTGTAAAGTGGATACGAAAAGAAACAAAAGGTATAATATTTTATTATGTGGTACGTGCATATTTTAAAATATTAATAGATGTTACAGATTTGGTTAACTTTGTGACAGTTGCATTAGCTACAGCAGCTGGTGGAGAGGGCGATATGACTACTGATAAACTATCATTCTTACGTACTGTTGGTAGTGGGTTTGGCCCTTTAATATACAAACTACCAAAAACGGCTGGCTATGAGGAACTACAGAAACTATGTAGGACATTGTGGGTAACACTGGAAACAGCTCCTAATCTTCCAGAGATGATGGTAATTATTAGACTTCCTATACATTACATTAATTCTTGTTGTAGAGGACATGTCAGAAAGAAAAAAAATGGTATAAATCAGTCAAGAAAACACAAGGCTCAGTTGAAGTAACCTCATATGGTCAGATGAACAATATTAATAAATATGGTGTCTATGAGATTGGGTCCTCTAAGAAAGGAATTTTAGTTCGTCATTCAGAGGGTATTCATTTGAGACTGAGAGTGCCTAAACATAAAGAAATCCCAAAGTTATTGTATAATTTGGACGAGCTAAGGGATCTGGAGAGCAAATTAGTACTAATAACTGGTACAAAAACAACGGAAAGAAAGCAAGTGGACTTATTTCTCAATGTAAGCTTATATTTAATGTATATTACAGAGCCTGTAATAACCGTCAGATAACAGACATTTTCTGACCATTTTGCAACCAAATTCTGCATGCACGTGTTGTTCTATCATTTTGTTTGATCGACATAATTTTAAAAATAATAATGTAAATTATTTTTTAAAATTTAACATAATAACTATAATTAATTGTATTCCCACAAAGTATACTAAGTAAGCTAAACAGCATGCTTCATGACCAGAATGCAGTACATGACATTTTAGCAACTTTAAAATTTCTTAAAAATCAAATTTGATTGGAATCAACTCAAAGTTGATGGACAGCATAAGGGCATGTATTTGTGGCATTAAAATGAAAAATTCTCTCCTAAGCTTTTTTGACAAAATTTGACCAAAGACCAAGCCTTTGGTCATTGACCTGACTTTTGAGCAAATTTATGAAAAAAAACCAAGGCTATAGCCTTTGGTTGTTGACACAGTTTTTGAGCAACTTTAAAAATTCATGAAAAGTTTAAATTTGATCTGAGTTTGTTATAATTTTTTAGACAGCATTAAAACATGTATAAGTATTTTTAAAATAATAAAGATACATTACCATCCACCTTCGAACCCCTTTATGGTAAATGATAAATATTAAAAATTCTTGCATTGTGATTTTTGCCAAAATACCCTGTTTTATAAAAGTCTTCTTCCAAATTTTTGAGCTACTTGACTTGACAATCAACTTGAGCAACATGATGCTGCATGAGCACTATGCCAAAATTTTGTGAGAAGCCTTGTCTGATTGTTTGATTAAAATTGCAGATTAAATTAACCAGTTTTAATGATTTATTGTTTTTAGGTTTTTCATAGTGTTTGCAGAATTACTGATGTTCTAATGGAATTACAGCAGCATGGTAATGACAAGTACATTGGATGGACCCTCTCTTTCTCTTGCAAGATTAAGAATGTCGTTACTTCCCTTCAAGAGCAAGCAAGCACGATGGAGAATGATCTGCAGTATTGGAAACAAGAGCTCACTCAACAAAGAGAACATTTTCACGAACTCAATTACTTCACAACCCCACAACTTCTTTCCCTTCGAGAAGAATTAGGTCATTTCAAAAGTAATGAAGGACTAGCTAGACCAGTCAAACAAGAAGTCATGACTCTTTTGCAAAGCATCTCACGTGAAATCTCTTCAGATTTGGTTAAAAGTGAAGTTCAAATTTTAATTAGCACACTAGCTGAGCAGGAATATTTACAAGATCAGCTATGTACACATCATGATTCATCCCAGCTACATGTATATTCATCAGCCTTTGAATCTCCATCAGTCAAAAATAACGAATTATCAACGGCAGATGATCACATTGTCTATACACCAGCAGATACTAGTAGGGAAGGAATGGAGAGCAAATTGTCATCCTCTGCAGCTAAACCAATATTACAAAGACTTACAACTTCTTCTGGCCCTCAACCAAAGCTGATTGATAAAGACTTGACTGACAAACAAATAGCTATAATAGATAATTTAAAGGAAACATATGGTTTTTCAAAGAAACTTGTTCTTCCAGCATTTGATGAATGTCCAAAACCAGACATTGAAGAAGCAGTGATTGAGTGGTGCCTTAACTTTGATTTTACTGATAGTGATGTTGAAAGTGAAACAGCTACTGAAAAATTGGAAGGTGACAGTGAATTGTCTTCTGAAGAGGAAGAAATGGAAACAGATAAAACAGTAATTGATGAAACAAAGGCACAGCATGAATTACCTACTTCTGCTATACCTTTTTCTGCTCTGGAAGAGCCAAAAAAGCCCATTAAAACTAGGAATGAACCAGATCCAGTTTTTCCTCAGTCTTACTCTCATTCCTCTCTTTCTTATAAAGTCACAATAATTGATAGAGAACCCATTAGCGAGGATCATCCTGTTGTTACTGTTCTCATTGAGTCTGGTTTCACTTTAGAAGAGTCTTTAGCTGCTGCTGAAAGGTATCCTGATGATGTAGGAAAAGCAATGGCTTCTCTAATGGAGGGCCCATCTGAAGCAGGGGAACTATTTCCTCCAGTAACTTATGATAACGAGTTTGAGAGGCATGATAGCATTGAAGAATATGAGAGGCAATCCAGTTCAGAGTTTAATGATGAATTTAAGTAAGAATGAATTACAAGTTACTGATGTTATTGTTGATTTGTTATTGTATATGTAGAATCAGCAGCAGTGAGAAAGCGTCAGCTAAAAATTACCTCTCTATTTTTCATCTGGGTGTGACACTGCAACAATTATCACAAAACAATAGATGTGAGTCTCTTTTTTTGTGTCATATTTATAACTTATTAATTATAACAGCTGCAGTTTGCTTTAAAAGACCATTTCCAGAAGGACTAAAAGCTGGAGAGTATAATTTACTAGTGACTCCTCCAGGTCAGTGTCTACTTGAATATTAGTAATCTGAATTTTTTGATACTTCTTCTTAGATAAAGTTTTTAAAACTGTTCTTTCATTGTTTATGGAGAGTAAAGATCTTCCACT